ACGACGAATGTAGAGTTATAATTGCAATTAATTGCCACTGATTTGCTTGCTCTGCTAAACAAGAAAATAATTGATGCGGCTTATGCTGACAAATCTCTTTCTTTCTATTTTTGTAGTGATTTATTTTTTTAAAGATGAATTGGACCGGTGACAAAATTAAATGTTCTGAAAATTTACTGTTTATTTTATAGGGTAGAAGAAAACTTAGTCACAATTTATTGGGCGACCAATAATATTCTAGTTGATTGAGTTCACTTTATCAATTTCATTAGTTCTGCACCATAGGTCTTTGTTGTGAATTGTAGTAGTTTGTGGTGAATGGTGATGCATATGAATAGTACATAAAGTAATAAATGAGATTAAGATGTTATGTACCAAATGCAAACATTATTATTTTATTTAATGGGTGTTGTGCCCATTCTACATAACTCAGATTCAATGAAAGTTTTTGATGACCACATTGTTGCAAGTTTCAACTATATGTTTTCAAGGGTGGTCCACAACATTTTCGACTTTATACTCGTATGTATTTGTATGGATTAGTACAAATATGGCTCGTAAAGAAATTAAAGGCGTGATTGGATATGAATTCAACTAGTAAAAAAACTAGTTTTTTTTAATTATAGTTAAGTTTGAAAAAAGGTGGTATAGTTAGTTGTTAGTGGATATATTAAAATAATATTTAAAATAAAATAATTAAAGTTAATTTGATATAAAAGTAGGAGAAAATGATTAAAAGTGATGGTTAGTTAAAATTATGTGAGTGGATGAATAGTGAATTAAAGTTAATGTGATGTGTAAGAATGATTGGTTGATATTATTTAATTATATTAATAATATTGGAGATAGCGGAGTTGAGTTAAAGTTGAGTTAAATTTGAGTTTTGATTGATTTTTTTAGTATAGAATCCATATACAACCGCCCCTAAATATTTAAAAATTAGAATCTATTCAAATTCAATTATGTGTTTACCCAAAAGAAACCTTTATATTAAATTCTAGTATATTCATATATATGAGGAGCAGTGCGGATATTTCATCATTAATGTTAGTGCTTATTTATTTTGTCAGTATTTGCTGGAAAAGTTGGCCACTAAATACGAAATCCGATTTTGTGAGTATATTTATTCAATATATCGTGACGATGCAATAGCGAGTGCATGTTATACGGGTTATTTTTATTTTTATTTTTTTTCTAAAAAAATTAATGGAAATGGAAAAAGAAAGCCAAAGCCTTTATTGCTGCGTTACTTTCTCATGTGCAGAAAGCATGTGAAAAGACGAAATTCACGCCGTGTTCCAAAAGTTGAATACAGATAACGTTAATAACAAATTCCCACAAGTGCAAAAAATGGGTCAATTTGCTTTGGTTTTGATCAAAAGTATATTTATTCAATTCTCAAAATATGTGAATGCAATGGTGAAGGCTGTAAAAGTGGATACGAATCGTGACTCGTTTTACTTTTTACTTCTTTTCACATATATACATGCGCGTTATAAATATAATATGTAATAAATAAATTCAAAATTACGACGTTGAGTCTTGTAAATCTGATAGGTTTTATTTATTTACAGAGTTTGAGAATGAGTTGGGATATATAGTTTCATCAGGTCCGCTCTTTTGTCAAGATCAATTTTGTTAAACATCGTTCATTTCTAAATAAAGTATCTAAAAATGTAGAGTATAAGTTGAATACTATCATGCACCTCCATTTGATAACTAAAATAAATTGATGGTAACTCCTTTCCTTATGCCTGCGGGTCAAAACACATGAAATCAGATTCCATTCTATTACTTTCAACTGAATCTTATTGATAATCATTTTTAGATCCAGAGATAAGAAGTTATTTTTTGAATTTTTTGTTGAGGTAGCTTATTTATCCCGTCGTTAAATAACTAAAGTACTAGTATTACAATAGAAATATGAACAATACATCAAATCTTCATTATGAACACGAGAGGAAAGGTTACACGAGAGGAAAGATTGCAGAGTGTCTGTTGGGTTGAGAGAGATGTAAGAAATTTAACGGGTATATTCATAACTATTATGCGAAATTGAATAAACCCTAAGCATGTAATTCTATCAGTTCATAGAATATGGATCTTTGCATAAATTAAATTGCACATCGAACTTACAAGAATCCATCTTATAGTCCTTCCATGTTTTCTTGATCTATGAGGTTGATCTTCGATCTCTTTCCCGTAATCTCCAATGATGGGTTTGCCTTTGCTTATAATTTGTTTCTCTCTCCCGTGTCTCTCGTCTTTCCATAAAGCCCTTGATGTTGAGAACTTTATTTTCGTATGAGATGGGAGAGAGGGGCATGTAGTAATATATATAGGAGTAGACCTACAATATTAATCCTACTAACATTCCCCATGTTCTAACTTAACTTACTGTCCAAGTCAAACATCACAAATTTGACTCTTTAATATTAGAACATTAATAATCTATGAAATACATATTCACCTTATATAAGTTTGACTATTAATTCAATTAGGTCTAACTAATTATATGGTCCACAATAATAGAATAATATAAAATATTATTACATTCTCCCACTTGGACCATATAGTCTCGAAACCCAAAGAACTACTTTAAGCGCGCACCTTTCATCAAACTTATAATTGAATACATATATCTATAAGTTTAAATTAAAATAGAAATTAATCGAGTCATGGCGGTCACAAGTCTTCGAGCGACATGATCCCTTCCATGTACTACAAATCATTTCTAATTCAACTTTACTTTAATATGGAACAAACCATTCGTACTATAACCATAAGCCATCTAACTTTTATGTATATACTATAAAATCAAATATCAATAATGATGGTATTAAGTGTGAAGAATCAAACATCTTTAATTGAATTCAATAAGTGCCAAAATCAATAATTGAACAATTTCATTCAGTATCGGTAGTCCAACAAGGCCCCATTCGTTATTCGCAATTTTCTTTATATGCCTTGCAATGGCTATAGGGAATTACCCTTTAATGGATCCGCTTTAATGCAAGTAGTACTAGAATGCTCAAATGACACTTTAGTTCTTCACTTCTACTTTTACGACCAAGTATTTCAATTTTATGTGATTCACACCCTTTGAATACTTGTCATTCCTTGAAATATTATTGCTACGATACTGCAATAATTTCTTAGCGGCTTGGACAAGATGTCGACATTTCCAAGTCCTAAGATAAAGCATCGTGGCCCTAAATTTGACTTGTAGCCTCAAAGCATACCACAAACTCAAACTTAATCGTGGGAAGTCGCGGTGATGGAATTTGTCCCACTTTTCTAGTAAAATTTTGCTCCTTTAGACATTATGAGCAAAAGTCTGAATCCGAGTATCCAATTATAATAAATAAATTGGATCTTCTTTAAGTTAGCATGTGTTCTTTAATGCCTTGTAAATAATTTAAAAATTTCTTTGCAGCATTTAAATAATCATTTAGGGATCACTTTTATATATTTGTTTAATGTACTAACAACAAATATGTTATCAGACCTAGTACAGGTTCGTCTCCTTTAGGACTCCTAATCATTTATATCTAAGTAATTTTCTCCATTACCTTTCATTCCATTTCATCTTTCGGACACTTATTATAGATTAAATGTGTCCCCTTTTATGAATTGGAAATATACGGAACAACCATTCATTCTAATTATCTCCAAAACTCTCGAATTATAACTTTTATAGGATAATATTTTAGTCCTTGTCATCTATTCCGGAATATTAATATTCCATTTACCAAGGACGTTTCATTCATATCCTTTATTTTATAATTTTTAGAGAGATAATACTATACTTCGTGCGACATGTCCACATTATTATTAACTATAAATATGTCATTGACATATGGAACTAAAATAACAAATCTACTCCCATTGACCTTAATGTAGATATACCGATCCACGGTATTCTCTACAAGATCATAAGCAGTGATGATATCAGTAAACTTGAGATACCATTGGCGAGAGGCTTGCTTTAGTCCATATATCGATCTATTCAACTTACACACTAACTTTTCCTTTCTTGTGATCTCAAAACCATCTGGTTGGTTCATATAATAAACTTTCTCTTCCAATTCTCCATTTAGGAAGGCAGTCTTTACGTCCATTTGATGAAGCTCTAAGTCATAATGAGCTACCATTGCCAATACAATTCTCAAGGAATCTTTCTTCGAAACCGGAGAGAATGTTTCCTTGTAGTACAATGCCTTCCTTTTGGGTGTATCCTTTAGCAACAAGTCTAGCTTTATATCTTTCGATATTACCTTTAGAGTCGCGTTTGGTTTTGAAAACTCATTTACACCCGACTCTTTTAGACCCTTCAGGTAAATCTATTGAATTCAAGACTTTATCCATTGACTTTAATTCTTCTTTCATGGCATTGATCAACTTTTCCAGAATTTTCACTTTTCATGGCTTGTGATTCATCAACCAAAGGTTTTTCTATAATTTCTTGATAGCTTGTGGCCAATTCATTATCAAGTGAGTTTGGATCATTTCGTTATTCATCTAAGTTACATGACGGTACTGTAACTAAAAGAATAATAACCATTGATGGACTCTCGGGTTTGGACTGTTCAACCCGAGGTTCTTTGACATCCAAACTTTGCGGTTCCAAACTCCCACTGAGTTGGTCATTTTAAATGAATCGAGCATTGTGGGAATCAACTATTCTCGTACTATGGTTAGGGTTATAATACTTATATCCTTTAGAACTTTTTTTGAATAGCCAATGCATAACCACTGGTTGTCCTAGGATTAAGTTTTTTCTCATGTGGATTATATACTTTTACTTCTGCTTGACACCCCCAAACATGAAAGTGCCTCAAACTATGATTCATACCCGTCCACAGTTCATAAGGTATCTTAGGAACTGCCTTACTAGGAACTCTATTTACCCAATATGTAGTAATCTTTAATGCATGCATCCACACAGAAAACGTTAATGTTGAATTACTCAACATACACCTAACCATATTCTTTTAAGTACGATTTATCCTCTCAGCAATACCATTATATTGAGGAGTCTCAATTATAGCGTATTTCACACAAATAATTCAAATCTCAAGAAACTTTGCAAATGGACTAGTACATTATCCTCTTTCATTGAACTTACAATAATTAACCAATCTAAGGAGATCTCACAATATTTACTTATATATCTAACTACCTTTCCATCTCATCATTGTATATCTTTGGATAATCCAATGATTGAGTCATTTCATGTAGTAGATAAATATAACCATAACGTGAGAAATTATTTATAATGGTGATTAAATACTTTACATCACCCCACAAAGGGATGTTGAATAGACCACAAAAATTAGTGAATAAGTTATAAGATTTTAGTGCTTCTCATGGCAGATCTCTTTAATGTATGCTAGTTTGTTTTCCTTTAATTCATTTTATACATACATCATGATCACTAAAATCCAAATGAGAAATAGTTTCATTATTTACCATTCTCAAAACTTTTCTTCAGATATATGACCATAATCTTTAATGCCATAAGAGAGTATAATATTCATTATGTGCACTACGTTTAACCCCAAAATAAATATGGGATACATTAGCTGCACAGAATCAAGCCATCAAGTATTATTGGGAATCTTTAATAAATTTGATTCACAACATACGAAAATTTAATGTTTGTCTTTCTTTTCAAGATTTTATTTCGGGCAATCTCTCTTAAGGTGGCCTAACTTTTTGTAGAAATAACACCTCATTTCTTTAATGATTAGAACTGCAAAAACTTTAAGTAAGCCAATCTCATTTTATTTGTCTTTGTTTCCCATTTTATCTTACTATTATTGGCTCACACATGAGATATAAGTGAATCGACTCTTCTTTCATCTAATTTATTCTCACATCTTCCTGCACCAGTATAGCCTTAATTTTCTTACTGTCCCATTTATCTTTAATGGTGTTATAGTTCACCTAGGATTGGCCAAACTCGACAGGTAGGAAGTTCATGATTAATAGAACAATAAATGAATCTGTCACATTCATTCACATGTTTGTAAGTTTAGCTTATATGTTGAACATGTTTGGTCACGAGCTCGCTCATAAAACTTTCCACAATAGACTTCTCCCGCAATTTTATATGGAGATAACTCCTTGATTTTTATTTAGGAATTGTTTTATATTATCAGCCTTAATGTTATCCGCTATGATTAACTCCATAAAATTCAAACACAACTCATTTGATCGCTCACATACCCTACGAAGAGTTACCTCTACTTCGGAGCTCTCATCAGTAATAGTTGTGGGAGCTTCATCAGTAATTAGAGTCGTATACAAATTTATTGCACCTAACTGAAAATGGATATGCTTAGACCTTTCACTGAAGTTCAGCCAATTGAATTTTCCAACTATAATATTATACGGATAACCAAATTTTGAACGCTGCAAACTTTAATACATGCTATTTAGTTAAGTTTTGAGAGACAATTAATGGATTCAGAAATATTTTAAATTATATATTTAAATATACCTTTGGGCAAATACTTAAATATATAATATAATTGATTGATGCCTAAGAGGAAAGATCTTTAATAGAAATTATAGGTATTGTGATTAATTAGTGGTTATCTTTGGACAAACACACTAATTAACCTAACTATAATTATAATTTCTCTTTTATATAGTAATCCTTGATAGAGATTATACAAACTTGAGTCAAGTAGCGAATATCTTTGGACAAACACGCTAATTAACATCACTTTAAGTATAACTTCACTTTTAAATATTAATCCTCAATAGAAATTATATAATTTTGATCAATTAGAGGTTATCTTTGGACAAACACACTAATCTCCCAATGTTCTTTCTAGGTTATGTATGGCTGTGAGCATAAAGGACCTAAACCCAGACATGTTAAACGACGATGAAGGGTACGCGAGTTGGCTCCCGGATGCTTCGCTCGAATCGTTACTTTTTACGATGAACCAGAACGCCATCTCCGCCAAGGACGAGGGAGCAGGCGAAGTGCCAGCGAAGGCAGAGAAGATTCAAGTTTCAATTCAATACGTAAAATGAGCCCAGTTGTTGGATAGATAAAAGGGAATGAAGCCCGCTGGTTTGGATGCTTACCGCTCCGTGGGCCTTTTCCACCGCGGTTGGCTCTTTGAGTCACTTCGCTTCGAAAAGTTTTTACAGTCTCACTTTGCTCTCCTCAGTCTATATTTCTCTCCTTCAAAGAAGAGAAGTTCAGTCATAAAAGGAAGCAAGCAAAGCTAGCCCCGGAAGGTGTATCTTCGTTCGCAGGAAGAAAACCCTATATCTGATAGCTTGAACTGGTCCGAATCAAGGGACAAAGTCCAAACTCACAATTGCACAAACACATGCTCTGATACCACATGTAAGAAATTTAACGGGTATATTCATAACTATTATGCGGAATTGAATAAACCCTAGCATGTAATTCTATCAGTTCATAGAATATAGATCTTTGCATAAATTAAATTGCACATCGAACTTACAAGAATCCATCTTATAGTCCTTCCTTGTTTTCTTGATCTATGAGGTTGATCTTCGATCTCTTTCCCGTAATCTCCAATGATGGGTTTGCCTTTGCCTATGAATTGTTTCTCTCTCCCGCATCTCTTGTCTTTCCATAAAGTCCTTGATGTTGAGAACTTTATTTTCCTATGAGATGGGAGAGAGAGGCATGTAGTAATATATATAAGAGTAGACCTACAATCCTAATCCTACTAACATTCCCCATGTTCTAACCTAACTTACTGTCCAAGTCAAACATCACAAATTGGACTCTTTAATATTAGAACATTAATAATTATTTAACTATTAAATACATATTCACCTTAAATAAGTTTGACTATTAATTCAATTAGGTCTAACTAATTATATGGTCCACAATAATTGAATAATATAAAATATTATTACAAGAGAAACGGGAAAAAGAAAAATGAGAAGAAGTAATGAAGGAAACCCTAGTTGTCCTATTTATACTAAGAGGCTAAGAATAAAACTGTGTACAGGCCCAAAATACTAAAAGCCCAAAGTTACAAAATACTGCAGCCCAAATATATTTTATGATCTAATATCCCACGCAAGAGGAACATGTATATTGACAATGTTCATCTTGGAGAGACATGCATGAAAATGTTGAGTGCTGAGTGGCTTTGTTTGTTTCTTTGATTTCTAGGAAATCAAAGAATCAACAATGAAGAAAGCATATCCAGTTATACTTCTTCTTGTATCAGGACAGCCAGCCCAATCACTATCATTATAGCCCTTTAAAATTAAATTAGAAGTTCTGGGATATAGAATACCTTGTCCAATTGTACCCTTAACATACCTGAGAACCCTGTTTGCAGCAGTCATATGTTGATGTGTAGGACATGAAACCAATTAGCTTAAACAATGAAAACTGTGAGTTAAATCAGGTCTGGTGATTGTTAAATAAAGCAGTCTGCCTATCAATCTTCTATATTCAGAGGCATTGACTGTAACACTCCGTTTTATTTTAAAGAATTTACCGAGTTTATTTATAAAAATCAGAGTTAATTTTTCACAAAATCTCAAATTAAATTTTAAAACTCAACTGGCGCTATTTATCTACCAAGAATAAATTAAACAAAAATACAAATACATAAAACCAAGCATAAAACAATAAGGAAATATCTATACATGCATAACTAACAGTTATAAACAATAAATCCAAGCATTTATTAAGTTCCCAAAATAACCTTAAGTGAAGCATAATCCCAAGGTTCAAATCCGACATAACTTAATTATCCAAATCAAAGCAGGAAAATAAAACCAAGTCATGAAACAGTAATTCAACAATGTCATAAATAAGCGGAAGCATATATCTGTGATTTGTCAAGGTCGGGATGTAGGAAGGAACACGGCACAAGTTGAAAAGGTGAAGCATCAGTTATGAATGAGCAGTTCCTTTTCATTGTTTCATTCCATGATTGCGTTTGGTATATTTGTAATTCGCAGACGATAATCATCTCAGCTGTATCTTAATATGCTGCCAAACACCTTCATACCAACCTGTGTAGTGCATCTGCTTGCTGCTACAACAATAAATTGTGAACAAAGTGGCGTGTTTGGAGACTCTTGTTTCATTGATAGTGCATTGGACATTTTAGTAAATAATATTTCGTCAATCTTTATGCTTTGTGTTGAACTGTAATTTATGACTTCATGTCTTTATGAGCCAACACTGTTGAGTCTGTACCTTAAGGTGACTCTTTTTAAATTCATTTTGTGGAAATGTAACAAGGCCTTTTCTGGTTTATAAAAGGCCTCTCAAAGCAAACCTTCCGGAAAATTATTTAATTTATTGTGCTTAATTCTTTGATTTGTATTGCCTTCTTGTAATTTAAATGTTTGCTTTCCTAGCTTACTGAATTTCATATATCTCAATTTCTCGGTATTTTAAACTTCAGCCTTCCTTTCCTTGGTCCATAGTGCAGAAATCTTGATTCTTATTTCCCTTGACCCTTTTCCTAATGGCAGCACATGAGTTGATGATAGAATATAATAAAATATTAAAATGTCTTGCCATGGTGCAGTACAAGCTCCTTTGTCCAGAGTACTTTAAGGCCATTGGTCAACGCAGATTACATTTCATCATACAACTTGACTTTGCTTTCAAATCATGAATCGTCTTGTGAAACATCAGCAGGCTTGGAAGCTCCTGTCTGGCCTTCAGTTATCTTCTCGAAGTTATACCAAACCTGGAAAAACTCTTTCTCTATGCAAAGATGGAAATGCTTTCGTATCTCAGAGCACAAGACAAACATCTAAACGCTCATCTGGTTTGAAAAGCACAGCTGCAGGATGTCACCAGAATTATCAAAACCCTGCAAAAGGTGGAGTACATACTGGTGAAACCAATAGAAACTCGGGCAGTACCTACCAAGGCCTCATCTGATGTCATTGATGATGATAACATGGATGATGATGAAATTTTGGAGGTAATTCTTGACATCTGCCATATGAGTGTGATCCGGCTTTCAGTTTTCTCAAGGGCAGGTGGTGGTTTGTCTGCCCTTAATGGTCTATTATAGGTTAATTTCTATATTTTCTCATGTTCATTAATTGAAAATTCTTGTGAAGAACAAAAAGCTTTCTTGTTGCGTCGGTTATTGTAAGATGATGATTACCTAAACTTAATTTTTTCTACTTTCCCTTTTCTATTTTGAGTTCATACTTTTAGTTAGTAATAATACATCTGGCCGTTAACTATTATTTCAATTCTTCAGAATATCGATGTGGATCAAATTGTTTTGGATCATTACCAGTCAACTCCTCTACCATCAGTCTCTAGATTTCCCCAAACTACCCCGCATACAAATAAAAGGCAATTTTTCTGTTGAGGAAACAAATTTACCTCCAGAATTGTCCTTAATGTGCAGTCACAATCGTTAGGTAATCATTTAGTTAAACTAATCCTATATGAGTCAAGTTTGCTACCTATGTTATTCTTGCTACTGAATGGTGCAGCTAGGCATTTGTCCTGAAGCTTCAAGTCACCTGCAGGCTATGAAGGATACTCTAATATGTATATCAAATGATCTTCTTGACAATGTTGGTGAGATCAATTCAGAAAGAATCCAGGCCCTTCAACAAGAAAGGTATGCTTAACTCTCCTCGCCTTTGTTGCTACTTTACGAGGTAATTGCAATTTGGTTTAATATTTGGAAATAGGATATTTCACAAAATGATATGAAAGTGTACGAGAATCTGATTGTAGGGTAATCAGGTTCAGAATGATCAATATGTTTTTCTCATCTGTGTGTATCATGTGCTAATATGTTGAATTTGGTTGAATCATTGAGTAATGAAATCATCCAGCATTTATGATATGTACTTGTTACTGTAGGCAATTGCTGAGGAAGCAGATTCAGCAGCTTGAGAAACATCTCCAAACAACGTTGGTGAACGAGGAAAGGAAAATGTCTCATTTTTCTGCTTCCACAGCATCCCATATGTCATTTCAGCATGACACTGCTTCAACAATGCCATCTAGAATCGAAACCAGAAGGCTAGATTCCCAGTTTCAAGCAAACAATGAGCCATATGCATTTGATAGATGGGGCCAATCGTCTTCATCATTTTATTCTACAGATGGGTTTGGTTTATCAAATGCTCCTGTGGAGAGAGAACCGTATATTCCAAAAATATTGAGATAAATTACAGAGATGGTTCAACTGGCAAAAAATGGAGCAGTCGGGAATTTGCTTGGACAAAGAAACTAGAGCTTCGCATAGCATCTGAACTCTCATTTAAAAATCCACTAGTGCACTAACTTTTATCCATATTGTTCAGACAAACAACAAAAAAGTGTTTGGCAATCATTCTTTCCGTCCAAACCAAAGGGAGGTGATCAATGCTACAATGAGCGGCCACGATGTTTTTGTATTAATGCCAACTGGAGGGGGTAAAAGCTTGACTTATCAGGTTATATTGTTTCTTCTATATCACATCTTTTCTGTTTTTAACTTGTTATTCAGCTTCCCAATTATGCAATATGTCTAGATTAGCATATCGTCATCTACCCTATTTCTATATTTTTCCAGTTTTAGTTCGAGCTGAATGTTTAATTTGGACAGGAAATGTATTATATATGTTTTCTGATTGTTCTCTCCTTTTAGATTTTCTCCTAGTGCCAGTACTTTTAAGTGTATTTACAATCCAGACATTACTGTTTCAATTTGGAACAAAGATTCTGTGCCAATGGTCTCACTTTTTTATCTATTATCAGTAGTTGTTACCAGCATTATATGTATTTTTAATGATTATTCTTATTCAAAGCTGATTATCTCTACTTGAGCATGGAAGTGATAGGGTGGTCTGCTGTATTCAAGTTACACTATCCGTAGCAGTATTTGATCGCAAGAATGTAGATTTATCAGTTGATTGACCAATAAATACTGTAATAGCAAGTAATGTGCTATTATTACTTATGCTGAAGCTTTATGGTGGTTCCTAGAAAAACAAAACCTAGGCAATGGAATAAAATTGGAAATATGTTGCTGTAGTACATCTCTGGTATGGTAATCGATCAGGTTTCTAGTTTGAGTGCCCTCACAAGTCCCAACTAACCAAAAGATCTATGTTATGATCTTACCAATTCTCGTGGTACTGACTTTTACTTTCTGACTTGTTTGTGTTAATGTTACTTGTGGTTGAAATTGGATGTGCTTTGCTAGTGAATTGGATTCTTGTTTATTCAGTACTCTTTGATGGGCATTTAACATTTTGTGAATCCTGGTTTCCTGTAGCTCCCTGCTCTTATATGTCCTGGCATAACTTTGGTCATTTCTCCTCCCGTTTCTCTCATTCAAGACCAAATAATGCATCTACTGCAGGTAATTTGGAAATATGATATGTGATACTTAAAATTGGACATTTCTTGTCGACTCTGATGACTCCAGCCTGGCGTTATTTCAATCAAACTGCATACCAGGCAAATATACCTGCTTCTTATCTGAGTGCCAACATGGAGTGGACTGAGCAGCAGGAGATTCTAAGAGAGCTTAGTTCTGATTATTGCAAGTACAAGTTGTTATATGTCACTCCAGAGAAAGTCGCTAAGTAAGTAGTGGTTCCTAGAAAGTCAATCTTTCATATGACTAACAAGGCAGAAATTATGGAGTAACTTATGGTTGATCCTTAATTGTAAAGGAGTAACTTATGGTTGACCCTTAATTGTAAAAGAGTAACTGATGGCTGACCATTAATTGTAAATATTCAGAGTATGTTTTAGGAGTAAATAAGACGGTAGACTAGGAGCTAGACTAGCAGCTTACCTAAGATAGATTGTACACAAATTACTATTTATTGGAAAAGAGCCCAAGGAAAAAGGCATTCAGTCAAAACTTGTTATGGTATAAGAGCCACTTTGTTTTTTTTTTTTGGGAAATTTTCAGAGATTTTGGTTGATCAATTTTTTTTGATTAACAATTCGTTGGGGATTTTGGGTCAATCACATAGTGGTTGAATATTTTTTTCTGGGAGAAGATAGAAGCTTTCTTCTAGTTAGAATGTTTGCTGCAGATCATGTCGGAAAACTGCCTGCAGAGACTTTGAGTTTCAAATTTACAGGAAAAAACTATGGTGCTTGGGAATTTCAGTTTAGAATGTTTCTGAAAGGAAAGGAACTATGGAACCACATTGACGGAACATCTCCTCCTCCTAAAGAAGCTAGGGAACTCAGTCAATGGGAGAGTAAGGATGCCAAAATTATTTCTTGGATTCTAGCATCCATTGAAAGTCATATGGTGAACAGCCTATGATCATTTCGTACAGCTAAACAGATGTGGGATTTCTTGAAGCGTGTATACAATCAAGAAAATACTGCTCGGCGATTTCAACTTGAACTCGACATCAACAATTTTGGCCAAGGCAATCTTTCCATTGATCAGTATTATTCTGGTTTTATAAATCTTTGGAGCGAATATTCTGATATTCTCTATTCCAGCGTATCTACTGAGGCCTTGGCAAGCCTTCAAGAGGTTCATGAAGTGAGCAAGCGTGATCAGTTTTTGATGAAGCTGAGACCAGAATTTGAGAGCGCCAGGGCAGGTTTATTGAATCGAAGTCCATCACCCACATTAGATGTTTGTCTTGGTGAACTACTTCGTGAGGAACAACGATTGGCTACTCTTGCTGTCATGGGGGGGTCAAAAGAAAAATCTCAGGTTCTCAATGTTGCTTTTGCTGCTCAAGGGAAGAATCGAGGAAAGGGTTTCGTTCAGTGCTACAGTTGCAAAGAGATGGGACACATAGCTCGCAACTGTACCAAGAAATTCTGCAACTATTGCAAGCAAAATGGACACATCATTAAAGAGTGTCCAACAAGGCCAGAAAATCGAAAAGCACAGGCCTTTCAAGCTACTGTTTCAGGTTCTCAAGTTCTTGGTTCTGCAACAACTATCACAAATCAACCCATTATGACTCCAGAAATGGTCCAACAAATGATTTGTACTGCATTTTCTGCTCTTGGACTCCAAGGTCAAGGTAACAGGATCTCTTCTACTTGGTTTTCTGATTCTGCAGCATCTAATCATATGACTGGTTCTCCTAAGCTTTTACATAACCTTCGGAAGTATACTGGCACACAAAATATTCAGGTTGCTAATGGCAATAACATTCCAATAACAGCCATTGGTGATATTGGTCCTTCTTTTCGTGATGTGTTTGTCTCGCCTGAATTATCTAGTAACTTGATTTCTGTTGGACAATTGGTGGAGGATGACTGTGAAGTACATTTTTCTCGAAATGGTTGTCTTGTGCAGGATCAAGTGTCGGGGAAGGTGATAGCGAAGGGGCCTAAAGTTGGAAGATTATTTCCATTGCAGTTTACTGCTCCACAAGCTTTATGTTTAGCTTCTATGGTAGTTGATAATAAGGCTGAAATCTGGCATAAACGATTAGGCCACCCAAATGATGTAATTTTATCTCATTTAATGAAACAAGGTTTTCTTGGTTCCAAGGATAAGTGTCTAAATTCTGGGTTATCTAATGGTTGTTCTACTTGCAAACTAGGGAAGAGTAAGATTTTACCTTTTCCTTCTGATGGAAGTCGTGCAGATAGATGTTTTGATCTAGTACATTCTGATGTTTGGGGCATTACACCTGTTACCTCACATGCTCAGTATAAATATTTTGTGACGTTTATAGATGACTATAGTCGCTTCACATGGATATATTTTCTGCGCACAAAATCTGAGGTGTTGAATGCTTTCCAAACTTTTCTGGCTTATGTTGAGAGGCAATTTTCGACGTGTATCAAGGTACTTCGCTCGGATAATGGTGGTGAATATACATCACATGAGTTTCAATCATTTTTGCAGCAAAAAGGTATTATATCTCAGCGTTCATGCCCTTATACCCCCCAACAAAATGGGGTAGCTGAACGGAAGAATCGTCACTTGTTGGATATGGTTAGAACATTATTGTTGCAATCTTCAGTTCCGGCTAAATTTTGGGTAGAAGCTTTGTCCACTGCAGTCTATTTGATCAATCGATTGCCCTCTCAACAATTGACTTTTGATTCACCTTTCTACCGTTTGTTTGGCTTACATCCTGACTACTCAAAGTTGCATACTTTTGGCTGCGTTTGTTTTGTTCATTTGCCTTCTCATGAGCGTCACAAACTTGCAGCTCAGTCTGTTAGGTGTGCTTTTATGGGATATAGCACTGCTCACAAAGGTTTCTTGTGCTATGATGCTGTAGCTCATCGTATACGGATTTCTCGCAATGTCATTTTCTTTGAAAATGAGTTTTATTTTCAACAACTCATCTCTCCTTCCAGCAGGGTTATCCTTCCTAGATTTGATGACAACCATCAAGTTCAACAGCCAACAACTGAGCGTTTTAAACCCGGCAGTTTACCAACGACGCCATTCTTCTACACAAGTTCAACATCCTGATCCATCTACATCTATTCTTCGTAGATCTTCTCGCATCAGCAACCCTCCTGAACGGTATGGTTTTTCTATAGTTCTAGCTGATACTAGCGTACCTACTTGTTACTCTCAGGCCATAACACAAGTATGCTGGATAAAGGCTATGGAAGAGGAACTTCAAGCACTTCAAGAGAATCATACTTGGGATATCATTTCTTGTCCTACTGGTATTAAGCCTATCGGATGTAAGTGGGTATATTCTCTTAAATTACGATCTGATGGCACGCTTGACAGACATAAAGCACGATTGGTAGCTCTTGGGAACAGACAGGAGTATGGGGTTGACTATGAGGAGACATTCGCTCCAGTAGCAAAGATGACAACTGTGAGGCTTGTTCTAGCTATTGCTGCTTCTAAGGGCTGGTCGTTGAGGCAAATGGATGTTAAGAATGCTTTTCTACATGGAGATCTTAAAGAAGATATTTACATGCTTCCACCACCAGGATTATTCTCTACACCATCTTCTGATGTTTGTAAGCTTAAGCGTTCACTCTATGGATTAAAACAGGCTCCACGTGCTTGGTTTGATAAGTTTCGATCTACACTTCTTAGCTTCTCTTTTGTTCAGAGTCGCTATGATTCCTCTTTGTTTCTTTGCAAGAGTGCAAAGGGCATTGTCATGCTCTTGGTATACGTTGATGACATTGTCATTACAGGGACAGACACTCAATTGATTTCCCAACTTCAAGACCGACTTCAGAGTGCTTTTCATATGAAAGACTTGGGTTCTTTACAGTATTTTTTAGGTCTTGAAGTGCAATCTACCTCAACCGGCACATTCCTACACCAGCATAAATACATCGAAGATTTGGTTGCTTTGGCTGGCCTTCAACAAAGCCGTTCAGTTGAAACTCCATTGGAAGTCAATGTCAAATATCGACGTGACGATGGTGATTTTTTGCCAAATCCTTCTTTATATCGACAACTTGTTGGTAGCCTAAACTATCTGACTATTACTCGACCAGATATTTCTTTTGCAGTTCAACAAGTTAGTCAGTTTATGCAAGCACCTACCACTCTTGACTTGGCTGCTGTCCGTCGCATCATTCGGTATCTACAAGGCTCGTCTACTCGTGGTCTTTTCTTCCCAGCCAATTCTTCCCCACAATTAGTTGCATACAGTGATGCTGATTGGGCTGGGTGTGCTGATACGCGACGTTCTGTCACTGGTTGGTGCATGTTTCTTGGTAACTCTCTTGTTTCTTGGAAAAGCAAGAAACAAGATCGCGTGTCTAAGTCATCTACTGAGTCTGAATATCGAGCTATGTCCTCTGCGTGCTCTGAAATAATTTGGCTTCGTGGGTTACTAGGTGAGCTTGGATTTCCCCAAACTAAACCTACTCCGCTTCATGCTGATAACACTAGTGCTATTCAAATAGCTGCTAATCCGGTGTTTCATGAACGGACTAAGCATATCGAGGTAGACTGTCATTCTATTCGTGAAGCATACGATGATTCTATCATCTCTCTTCCACATATCCCCACAGCTCTTCAAACTGCAGATGTGTTTACTAAAGCACTTTCTTCGAATCGACATCAGTTCCTAGTTGACAAATTGATGCTTCTAGAACATCCAGCATCAATTTGAGGGGGGATAACAAGGCAGAAATTATGGAGTAACTTATGGTTGATCCTTAATTGTAAAGGAGTAACTTATGGTTGACCCTTAATTGTAAAAGAGTAACTGATGGCTGACCATTAATTGTAAATATTCAGAGTATGTTTTAGGAGTAAATAAGACGGTAGACTAGGAGCTAGACTAGCAGCTTACCTAAGATAGATTGTACACAAATTACTATTTATTGGAAAAGAGCCCAAGGAAAAAGGCATTCAGTCAAAACTTGTTAATGACTTGCTTGTAGATCAATGTTTGGTTATGCCTCTAGTATGTTCACGCACTCTAAGTTGATGTAAGTCATGACGCATGTGTGTCTGTAACTGTTGTTTTTGGTACTAACATTATTGGATACCATCTGATGGGAATTCTTACTTTGTAGCACAAATGCATATGCCGATCAAATTTAGTGGTTATCAAATCAGGGCCGCTTAGTGTGGGTTGACTTGAATGATGAGGCCAATTTCACAAAAAAAGAACGTTGACTGCAGTGGAGCAATTACTTATTTCCAATTTATCTTGATATGATAATAATGATGATGCGGTGGATTCCTACATGTGTCTTACTGCATAAGATTCATTGGCATTTGGCAGGATAGTTCACTTTTGTTCTTAGTCTGAGGTTCAAGTGGCTGAATTTCTCTCATTTCATCCCTGCAGGAGTGATGCTCTACTGCGTCAGTTGGAGAGCTTACATTCTCGTGACTCTCTTGCTCGTATTGTCATTGATGAAGCTCATTGTGTTAGCCAGTGGGGACATGATTTTAGACCAGATTACCAGGTACAACCGTGCTTTAATAGTATATTATCAGTAATGTAGATGAGCCATATCATTTACTGTTTTCTTTTAGGTACCGTGTTAAATGAACCTGGAATTTCAATTTGCACTCTAACTTGTTCACACATTTGGGTATTATGTTTTTCTTTAAATGATTTACAGAAAGTTTGTAAGTTTCATATTCTTATCATGTTACAACATATTTTGAGTTTGACAAATTTTATTGCCTATAATGTACCATTCACTAAATTGATATCACGTGAAGTAAGTAGTCGTTCCTAGAAACTCAATCTTTCATATGACTTACTTGTAGATCAATGTTTGGTTCTGCCTCTAGTATGTTCACGCACTCTAAGGCTGTGTTTGTTAAAGGAAAAACTCAAACCAAATTAATTCTACTCAAAATCTAACTCAACTTTAACTCAACCCCACTATCCTCAATATTATCAATATAATTAAATAATAACAACCAATAATTTTTACACATCATATCAACTTTAATTCACTATTCATCCACTCACATAATTTTAACTGACCATGACTTCATATCATCTCTCTCCTACTTTTAGATCAAACCAATTTTAATTATTTTATTTTCAATATTATTTAATATAAACTCAAAATCCCACTAACAATTAAACCACTTTTTTCTAAATTAACCCTAGCTAACTCAAAAAATTTCACTTTGAGTTAATTCACTCAAATTATTCCTTTAACAAACACACCCTAAGTTGATGTAAGTCATGAGGCATATGTGTCTGTAACTGCTGTTTCTGGTACTAACATTATTGGATACCATCTGATGGAAATTCTTACTTTGTAGCATATATTCATATGCCGATCAAATTTAGTGGTTGTCAAATCAGGGCCGCTTAGTGTGGGTTGACTTGAATGATGAGACCAATGTCACAAAAAAAGAATGTTGACTGCAGTGGAGTAATTATTTATTTTCCAATTTATCTTGAGGATTCCTATATGTGTCTTACTGCATAAGCTTCATGGCATTTGGCAGGATAGTTCACTTTTGTTCTTAGTATCTGAGGTTCTAGTGGCTGAATTTCTCTCATTTCATCCATGCAGGAGTGATGCTCTACTGCGCCAGTTGGAGAGCTTACATTCTCGTGACTCTCTTACTCGTATTGTCATTGATGAAGCTCATTGTGTTAGCCAATGGGGACATGATTTTAGACCAGATTACCAGGTACAACCGTGCTTTAATATTTATGAGTGATGTAGATCTGCCATATCATTTACTGTTTAATTTTAGGTACCGTGTGAAATGAACATGGAATTCAATTTGCACTCTAACTTGTTCACACATTTTGGTATTATGTTTTCCTTTAAATGATTTACAGAAGATTTGTAAGTTTCATATTCTTATCACGTTACAACATACTTTGAGTTTAACAAATATTATTGCCTATAATGTACCTTTCATTAAATTGATATCACGTGAATTGGTTGAGTTGCCTTCACAGGGTCTTGGTATGTTGAAACAGAAGTTTCCGAACATACCTGTCTTGGCCTTAACTGCTACTGCTACTATTAGCGTTAAGGAAGACGTTGTGCAAGCACTAGGTCTGGTAAACTGCAATGTCTTTCGGCAAAGTTTTAATCGTCCAAATTTACGGTAAGTACTGATATAAGATCTATTCGGCATGACATCACCATTTCTTAATGCTGCAAACATTGCAGATATTCTGTGGTTCCAAAGACAAAGAAGTGCGTGGAAGAGATTGATAAGTTTATCAGAGAGAGTCATTTGACGAATGTGGAATCATATACTGTCTATCGAGAATGGATTGTGAAAAAGTTGCTGAAAAGTTACAGGTTTGTCCACTTTTGAAATCTATGATGTCATTTCTTTGCATATTTTTATGCTCATAAGGAGGATGTTGGGTCTACAAGGTAGCATGGTTCGTATAATTCTGGTAGTACCTAAATCAAAACACGCCAATAACTCAGACTTTTGATACCACTAGTAAAGTGCACGTGCATCGCACGTGGTGGCGAATGTTTTTAATCGATTAAGTTTAGTAAAATAAATTAATTAATTTATTAAACATATCATTGCAAGACAAAAAAAAATGTGGAACAAATGAGGTCTTAATTTATTTGTTTTTTCAAAAATAACATAACGATGTACTAATATAAAGAGAATAAAATAACATATTACAATCCCAACAAAAATATATGCAAAATGAGTCAATAATTTTTTTTTAAAAAGACACTAAATAACAAAATAAAGACATAATTTATAATATAAATGCATTAGTTCTTTTCTTTATTTATGTTTGATGATTCAAGAGTGATTTTCTTTCATTTTAGTTTTGAGACGTTCTCATAAAAAAACATACGTACCCATTCGAGTTCTATACATCAATAGACAAATTCTTCTTAATTCATTAGGCAAAAAATCTACATTATTCAAACAATTGCAAAATATTTTGTCCAAACATATAGTCAAACTCTATGATTATGATCTTTATAAGGGATTGTTAATAACAGTTCATGAATATCTCAGTGAAATTATCAACCATGTCATTAAAATTGTTGATATATTTTTTTTTTCAGACTACTTCATTATTCTCTTTCCATATAGACAAATTGACACCTCCCACATGGAGGCATCTCCCCACGTGGTGAGAATGAGTTTCATTTCCAAATAAAAGTTGACCTTTCAAAATCTTGGTTACATATACTTCTTCCGAGACTCTAAATTATTTTTTTTAAATCATCACATATTACATGGAACTAAATTATTTTTTGAAATCATCATACATTCCATGAAAGTATATATTCTAGAGTAATTGTTTATGTTCGAACACAATACACCAATGTGAATTGTAAATATTTCTATCAAAATATGATAACTTCATTCAAAAATTCAATAATATTTTGTCATACCCCGACATTTCCTTTTCAATGTTATTTATTTAGAAGATAGACGAACTATATAATATGTTGTTTGCAAATCATTGAGCATCTTGGTTGTTCCAATGATTTCAGATGCTTTTATTGTCCAAATTTTTGCATCAATCATAATATTTCAAAAATTTATGATAAATATCTTTTCTTGATTATTTAACAATGAAAAAAAAAACAATGATATATTATTGAGAAACATATCCTTTGTTAAAATATTAGAGAGGAGAAAAATTAAAATTCCAATATATTATAATACTCTTCACCATCAATGAACTTTATTATCACAAAGTCATTATTAAAATATACATTATGTATTACAAAGTTTTTTATTCTTTTAATTATTTAAAATTCAAAATTTATAATATAGGATCAATATTTATGAGAATTTAAACGCCAGTAATAAAAAATGTAGTAATTAGAAAAGACTTTTGTTTCTAGATGTTGATATTCATATTTCTCTAAAAAAAAAATCAGACTTCTTTTTCCTCATTCCCTTACTATTTTTTTATTAGTTTCTTATTGTATTCACAAATAGTATTTTATTTGTTAAAAGAATTAGGGCATATTTATATGTATTGTTTAATTTTTTTATGCATTTTATATAATTATGTTGTTATCAAAGTATCTTGTTTATTAGGCTACAACTATAATCACATAAGATAAAATATAATTTAATATTATAATAATATATGGTTGATAAAATTGTACTTTTATACTGTTTATAAGATTAAAAAGTTTACATTTTTTTTTTCAATGTTTGATGAAACATTATGTAACTAACTCATTTTCATATTATATTCTTTAAAAGTTTATGTTACAACGATTATGGTGTTCCCTTTCAAGAAGTATTGAATAATTGTTCAGCATACAACTCATTTATTTCTCTTTTTAATTCACATAATTAAAATTGACAATAGTTGTAAGTTTACATTTATTTTTTTTTATTTTATTTACAATAGACTGTCAAATCAAACATCATTGGAAAGAAATTGTGTGATATATTACATATAAAAGGATAACAAATAAAAAAATATTAAGTATTTCGAAAGTGAAAAATTTAATGCTACAAAGTAATGAAATATTTAACTAAAAAATTAATTCTAATATCCCTATTTTGAATGAAAAAAAAATATGTACTTAAAAGTTCTATTTAAAATAAATGTGCATCTTAGGTGTGTTTTATATTTCTCATTAATCAGCTCCAACTGATGGATGACATTAATGAATTTTATCACTTTTTTTACTTTTGCATTGAATGCGAACTATAAGCTTGAGCATTGTAAAGTTTAATTTTTTATTACATAGAACATCATTCTTAACTCTTGTTTAGTTATTACAATATTAATAAATAGGTAAGAACATTTAACTTAGATGTATCTTGTTTGTTTTGAAAAAAATACTAATTATAATAAAGTAAATTATAATTACATTTTATGTGTTATATATTCAATCATTATCAACAATTTTCATAATAATTAATTACACACTTGAAAAAAAATTAATTGCACACAATAGTATATATAACGTAATTTTTTTATTGATTTGGAGAAGTACTTTGCTACAAAAAAATGATGAAATTCTAACGACAATTTCGACAAAAATATATAACAATCGAATTTCAACGACAGTTCTAACGAATATTTAAATGTTATTCCTTTCATTTGAATTATTTCAATGAAAATTATAACAAAAATATACGGTCGACACATGGCCACTTCCCAAAACATATAGCATAATGTATATAACAAAAATTGTGGGAACATTTTTCATAATTTTAATCATACCCCCTATTCAGAAAATAAAATTAAAAGAAAGAAAGATAAATAATGAATTAATTTGTAACTTAACCAATTTTACTTCAATTCAGCTCATAACTTTATTAAAGTTATAACATAAACACAGTTTTACAACTAAAGAAAATATGATAAATCTAGAAATTACAATTTCACCCTTTTAATTTTATTTTATTTTTTTTAATCTTGATGATAACTTCTATTTTCTATCACCTAAAACTTACACATAGAACTAAAGCACAAAAAATTAACAAGTATTGGACAATTTAGTTCGTTTGCACCGATAAGTACAATTTTAAAAGTTTATGTTTATTTTTATTAATTATAAAATTTTTATTCATTACTTCTTTTCATAGTTATTAGTAAGTACGTATGACAACTTAATTATATTATTTATAATATTTGGCAAATTTAATATTTGTGTACTTTATATTGTTCTTTCATATGGTCTTCACCTAGGTCAGGTGAAAATTCGTTAACTTTATTGCCTTTGTGACAAAAATTGGATAAAATAATTAAACAAACAAATAAATAACATTTTCTGTGGAATAAAAATTCAATTCAATAAATATAAGGTGCAATTTTCAAATGTAAGAGTGTATTTTTCTTAATAACGAATTAACTAAATGAATTGATCCACTTTTTTAGTTTGTTAGATTGTGTATATATTTGATATACCAATGAATATTCGTTGCGATTTTCACTGGAATGTCTGACCGTTGTATTTTTTAAAACTTAATTTCATGTAGTAGTTTTTGTTATTAATTAAAGTAATTACGATTTTACATTAAAATTATATTAAAAATAAGTTGTTTTTCAAAATATCAATTATATATCTTTTCACAGCTGGGTTGATTTTTTGGAGATATGAAAGAAGCATTTTGGAAGATATGTGAAAGAAACAAATTCGTGAGGAATAATGATATGAGAATGTTGAGGTTGATTTTTAGGATAATTGATCCACTTTTTTAGTTTGTTAGATTATGTATATATTCGCTATATCAATGAATATTCGTTGCGATTTTCAGTGGAATGTCTGACTATTGTATTTTTTATTGCAATATAGCAATTTTTTTAACTTAATTTCATGTAGTAGTTTTTGTTATTAATTAAAGTAATTACGATTTTACATTAAAATTATATTAAAAATAAGTTATTTTTCAAAATATCAATTATATATCTTTTCACAGCTGGGTTGATTTTATGGAGATATGAAAGAAGCATTTTGACAGATATGTGAAAGAAACAAATTCGTGAGGAATAATGGTATGAGAACGTTGAGGTTGATTTTTAGGAGATCTAGAATGTTTTGTTCGTGAATCTATATTTATTTAACTAAATATTAATTATTGATTAAAAATATAAGATATGATGAGTATTAGTGTATTACTAATTTTCCATTAAAAATAAGTCAAAGTAAGGATTTTTTAGGTAGTTCATTTGTTAATTAAAGATATAAAATAAGATGGATATTACAGTATTACTAATTTGCCATTAAAAATATGTCAAAGTAAGGGTTTTTTAGGCAAATTATTATTTTTACAAAATCACTAGTCCTTTTATAATAGTATAGATATAGATAGATAGATAGATAGATAGATATAGATATAGATAGATAGATAGATTAAATTGATATTTTGTCAATGTCCAAACCGTCTCTGAAACTTTCATGTGTGGGACTCCTCTAAGTATGGGTTGACTTTTTCCATCTTCTTGGTGGATTTTCTGGAAACTGGACTGTTGTCCCGGGCTTCATACAGAAAAGTACAGATTGCTGCACTGAGTTAAGAAACCAGTAGGAACAGCCTGAGATGTGGAACTTGATAACTTTTATATAGCAGTCTTCTGTTACCTTTTACGACATTCTACTTTGCATGAGTCTTCTATGATCTGGCGATCATCTATCATCAATGTGTTTTATAAGTATTGTTGTAAATTAAGCATGAGTGTTTTGAATTAAGCCTTTAAGCCTTGTGTAGACAGGCTGCTAGCTGTAGCTGAGATCTGAAATACAGGAGGTGTCAATTCCGACAATGTTGTCAAGATTATCATTATTGGTTTTGAAATATCAGTTATTTAATTTGTTTTATTTTTATCCAGTCTTAAACCAAAACGATTAAAGTCAATGCTCTAATGATTAGCTCTAGCTATAATCAGATGAGGAAGTGAGTAACAGTAGAATTATACTGTGCTGTAATACTAATACTGCATTCAAGCCATTATATAAAGTATAGATTTTTTTTGCAATTATATGTTGGTAGTACATGCATTTTGTAGGAGTATGGACACAAAGCAGCCTTTTACCATGGCAGCATGGAATCTGAGCAGCATGCAATGGTTCAGAAGCAGTGGAGCAAGGATGAGATCAACGTTATATGTGCGACCGTGGCATTCGGGATGGGTACAGTCCTACAATTTTGCTCCCTTTAGGTTTGCACTAGATATGCACTAACATTAGTATTTTCAGGTATTAATAAGCCTGATGTTCGGTTTGTCATTCACCATTCTCTTCCAAAATCCATTGAAGGCTACCATCAGGTTTTCTCTGAAGCACATTGTCTTTCTTGTCTGCCTTTATAATATGTTTTCATGCTTGTGATAAAATGATTGGATTCCATTAGTTTTGTTTGACTCTACCTTATTACTTGTAGGAGTGTGGTCGTGCTGGCCGGGATGGTCTGTCTTCATCTTGTGTCTTATACTACAGTTATAGCGATTATGTGAGTTCGAACATCAAGAGCTATCTTCTAATTTGCTCAAAAAAATTCTTTTATTTGTTCCACAAGGTGCTTCCTTTTAGCTTGTTATAATATTACTATCTGCATTCGCCACATATTTCTGGCTTATGTCAACTTCTTATGTATATCTCCATTTCATGTGTGTTTTTCTTTCTGCAGATTCGCGTGAAACACATGATTTGTCAAGAAGCTTTCGAGCAAAGTTCCCTATCGTCAAGCTATCATCGTGCAAATACGGCACCTTCAGGGAGGTTATTGGAGACAAATCTGCTACGAATGGTATTGACAGAATAATTACTTTTCTTCTTTTTTCCGTTTTAATACTTCAGATTATCTCCAGAAACTAGTTATGACGCTTAGTGTAGTTCCAACAAATCCCTGTCATCTTTCATTATTACAAATACTCATAATATTTGGTGATTTCTCATTAAAGTGTAACCTTAGATTTGTACAGTAAATACAAACTTCAGGGATATTTGTAATTTGAAAGAATTGGGGATATGTAATAGAATAATGGGTTGTTTTGTTATAATTTTCATTTCCTCTTTTTCCTTTTCTTTTCCTCACATTCTAACTTGGACATTTTCAGGTTAGCTACTGTGAAAATGATGTTGATTGTCGACGTCTCCTACAACTAATTCATTTTGGAGAGAAGTTTTATTCTATGAACTGCCAGAAAACATGCAATAATTGTTTCAAGAATCAAAACTATGTGGAGAAAGATGTGACTGAGATCGCAAAGCAGCTGGTTTGGGTTTTAATATCAATTTACTTTTGATTTCTGTAAATCTGTTACATAGACAATATTTTGTCTCAGCTGTTGTCTTTAACCGTTTATTCTATTTTTTCCAATGTTATTTCATTACTGAATGTGTCACGTTATGTCACGGTATGAAATATGCTTTACAGGTCGAATTAGTAAAGACAACAAACCAGCAGTTTTCAGCTGCTCATCTCCTGGAGGTGTACAGAGGTTCCTTGAACCAGTTTGTATGTTCCAAAGACCTAAAGTGACCTCACGTCTATTTCATGTATTGGGCAGGTTATTTGACACTTCTTTTTAAACGAAAAATGTAGGTTAGGAAACATGAGAAGTTGAGCTTGCATGGAGCTGGAAAACATTTGGCCAAGGGTGAAGCATCTCGCGTACTCCGCCATCTGGTCACTGAAGATATCCTGATTGAAGATGTGAAGAAAAGTGATATGTTTGGATCTGTATCGTCAGTATTGAAGTTGTTTCTCCAACTTTTTTTTTTCTTTCTTTGGACAGTATTATTTGGAAAGCAGAAGGAAATCCCCATCCTCATATTTAAGACCGGCCTTTGTCATATGGCTCTTTATCGCAGGTGAATGGACCCAAGGCCAACAATCTTGTTTCTGGTGTTCAGACAATTAAACTAAGGTTTTACCCTTTGCCATTGCAATAAGCTGAATGTAATTTTCTGATTTTATTTATTTACTTTTTTCAGTCCAAAAACCAATGACAAATCATTAAACCTCAGTGGAATGGGCAAATCAGATTCTTGTTTTGAAATATCTGAATGGGCCCATGTTTACATTTTCTTTTCCATTGGTTCACATTGTTGCTTCCTTAAAAAAATCAGTGAGAATCACCAAATAATACTTCAGACCATCAAAGCCATATGGCCCATATCCTTTACCTAAATTGGGAGCTGTCACATTTATCCAATATAATGGTACTTACTATCTTCGTCTCTTTATTTGCTTATACTGACACCATTTTCTGGTGAATTTGTACCTTCAGATTCCCAGGTGGTGCCAAAGCATGTAGGTCAAGTCGATCAGCAGCCGCCACTCCAGCAAAAGTCTCATTGCCTGTGGAAAAGAAAAGCTTTACGCAGATGGATATTCCAGCAGCCCAACCTCAATCTGAAGCGAATTTGGTAAGACTTTTTCGAGTTTTTAATCAACAAAATTTAAAAACTGGTGGTTTTATTGCAAAAACCACCAAGCAAGTATAGATGCAGTTGTTTATCTCTCAATATTCTTCCTTTTTCTGCACAGGACCTTCCAGCCAAATTATATCTTGCATTGCGAGCACTTACAACCACCCTTATCAACGAAGCTGAAGAGATTGGGATGGGTGCTCATCACGTTTTCGCGTACGGTTATGTTCTTGTTCTCACCATCATCTTTCTTTATTTCCAATTGGGATTTTAAGATCCTCTTCAGGAAATCATGAACACCCGCTTGAGCTTTGTTTCTAACTATCTAATTTCTACTTAACCAAATACCTCTTCCATGAGTGCTTTATGTTAAAATTGAAATAAGCATGAAATTGGTTTTTGAACTTCAAAATAAGATGGCTCAGCATAATATTTTTGCATGAAGACCCATTTAAGTTGCGAAATCACAGCATAGGCACCCAACTTACTTGCTTCTATTTTCTCTCCCGGTCCAGAACTAGCATATTTCACAGCATCTGCAGGGCTATTCCTAGAACCAAAGACGAGCTCCTAGAAGTCCAAGGCATCGGAGAGTAAGTTGATCGATACAAATACCAAAACCTCCAAATCCCATATCCACTAAGCCAAAAACCAATATTTATTTTGTAATTTTTTATTTAGTGGCAAGCTCATGAGATATGGTGATCGTGTCCTGGAAACTATAGAGGCCACCATCAGAGAACATTATAGGGACAAAAACGGCACCAGCAGTAACGACAGCTCGGATTCGAGAAAAAGGGGAAATGACACCAAGGTCTCGAGTGGTACCTCAAATGACGATGATTTTGTCGAGAGCACTGGCCCGACGAGAAAGAGGCTGGCAAAAAACCGGGATAAAAATCCTGAGCCGGTTTATGATGCATTTCACGAATTTGATGATATAGACTTTGATGACGATCTGATTGAAGTTGAGGTCGGCGAGGTGGATCGGGTGAAAGGCTGCAGGGTCTTGCCTTCATGGTCTTAATGGGAATTGAGGTTCGAGTTACTTGGTGTTAATTCATGTTGGGTTTTTTGAAATGGTTTCCTTTTTTTTTTTTTTTGGGNGGGAAATTGTAGTTGTGTTTGGTTGTTTTCTTATGTTTCTACGAGGATGGCTCTTTCAGGAACCTCACAATTTTGGTCATTTTGTTATCAAATTTGAATTCCAACACATCAATATCGATTCCAAATATGTTTGATTGTTGAAGTTTGGTTTGTTCGAATAATGTTTTGTTCATTAGTTGGTCTATCATTGTTAGTCCAATGAATTCTGAGAATCTTGATTGAAAACGTATGTCGCAATCTATGAAATGAGATAGCCTTTTTCTCTTTACCCCAATGTTTGTTTCCAGAAAGGAAATTGCTTTGTCTGCTATCGGCCTGCTACTCGTCTTTTATTATCGTCAGATTCAACTAAGTCCACCTTCTGAACTTATGAACCTCCATTCAACATTTATTTTGCTGATGCCTTGTATTTTTTTGTTTATGTCGTCAGATTGAAGGAGGTTCCAACAACAGTCAAGAACTGCTGGGCCACGAATGCGTTGATGGCTCGACCAAATAGAAAACATTGAAATACAAAACGGCACGAACCAAATACTCGTGGACCTTGAAAATGAAAACGAGCAAGCTCCTTAGTCCACAACCAGCGTTAGCGAGAAGTCTTATCCACCACCTGTGGAGGGAATGAAGTTTGAATCCTATGAAGACGCATACAATTACTACAACTGCTATGCAAAAGAGCTTGGATTTGGCATTCGAGTCAAATCCTCGTGGACCAAACGTAACAGCAAGGAGAAGCGTGGGGCCGTGCTGTGCTGCAATTGTGAGGGTTTCAAGACGCCAAAGGACACAAACATGAAGAGGAAGGAAACTCGGACTGGATGCCTGGCCTTGTTAAGGCTGAGGCTGCTCGAGTCCAGCAGATGGAGATTAGACGAGGTTAAGTTACAGCACAACCATTTGTTCGACCACCAGAGGGCACAGAGCTCAAGGTCGCACAAGAAAACAGAGGTCGGGGCCAAAAGAAAACCCGAGCCACCAGCCGCAACCCATCTCGAAGTCTGCACAATCAAGCTTTACCGAGCCCCACATGTCAATTGCGCGATTCATGACGAGAGAAAACCCGATGGCCACGTAGATAAATCGAAACGGTTGAAATTTAAAAACGGAGATTTAGAGGCTCTTCACGGCTATTTTCGGCGGACCCGAATTTTTTCTACGTTATGGATTTTAGCGACGAGGGGTATTTGCGGAATGTGTTCTGGATGGATTCCCCGGTCGAGGGCTGCGTACGGATATTTTGGCGCTATTCACGACGTGTCTAAATGCCACATGGCCTCTAGGGCATTGAAAAGATTAAACCAAATGAAACTTTGCCCAAGGATAAAAGTATCTGAATTAGAAACTTGCCTAAGGATTAAACAAAACAAACATTTTTTTGTGTTTCTTTTTTTTTTTTTCGGGCAATGCTAAAGAACATATGACAAAGGATCACGGTCTTCGTTCAACTATAATCGCCAAATTATTATTTTATATGTTCATCTCGTCAGTGTGCGTTATGGATCACGCCTAGCTTACCTCACCCAGAATCTCTTACTGGAAATTAGTCTTACATTCTATGGCTAGGGAAATGAATCAAATGCAGTCTATAACTAAAGGCATTTTTGTTGGTTGTTATATTGCTGGAATTACTTTAGCAATAGTGTACATACTTCAGCTTGAGTTTCTTATTACTTTGCGGTAATTACATTAGCAACAGTGTACATAGTTCAGCTTGAGTTCTAATGACGACTTTTCTAACAGGTATCCTAAACCTAAAAATACTAAGAACTTAAAGGCATGCTAAGAATTGAAGAATAGAAACTTAATTTATACATTTTAGAATTCACTCTCCGACCCCCGATCCCTTATTTATTTTCAGATAAATACAAAAACAGCCCATGAAGTTTAGCCCCATTACAAACCTCCCAATTATCTTTCAATATTACAAATACCTCTTTCCTACAGGCATTAGTCTTATCACCTACACAAAAGCATCCTTAATATTGGCGGTTTTCCTGACTGGACAAGTTTTTGCTCCTCCATTGGCAATTTACAAAAAGTAGATTTCTAGTGGAAACAAATAAAATAAAATTGTCAGCACATTAATAACCTATGAGACCTCAACAAGAAAAGGCACCAGAGATGAAGCAAGAAATGTCGCCTAATTGAGAGCAATCAATAAACATATACCCGTTATGCAAAATACCAGGCTACTTTTTCAATTGATCATATAAGTATATACTAAGAAAAAGTTAGAGCACGAAACTTAAGAGCACGTTTGTTACCAAAGATGAGATTGAATAAAAATAATCTTTGCTTCCAAGATTGTCTTGTATAGATGGGATGAAGTCATTTGTTTGTTGAACTTCATATACTCAAGATAACATTGTTGCAATTTATTTGTTACCCATTTGTTTTTTTTTTTATCGTTAAATGTAAATATATATACCAAACATACGTTCAGTCATTACAGGCATACAAAAAGCGTGAAGGGCAACCACAAGTCGGTTCATCATAGCAAGATATAGATAGACAAGGGCTACAACAGGTCGATGGCTCACTCAGAGTGCACGAGAACAATGTTTCACTCGGCATTTAATCAATACTGCTTCATTTCATCGATACACGAGTAGCAACAGTTAGTGGCGCATGTCCACGGAACGGTACGGAACCCTTCACGGCTTAGTCATGCTTCGCGTGGTCGCGGGAGTGCTCGCGAGGGCGCGAGTGTGCATGAGCTCGGGCGTCTCCTCGTTCTCGTTGGAAATGTCGTGGGGTCGAGAGTGGCTGGGAGGGCTCGTGTGTTCGCAGGCGAGGCCACGAGGCGCGAGTGACCTTCGCTGGGCGCGGGATTGTTGGCTACGCGGACCAGTAGCTTCTGAAATTTACCGCGTGGTCGCGGCTCCTGTCGCGTGATCGCGAGTGGCTAGAAGTGGGGCACGGAATGCCTCGCTGATCGTGGAAGATGGACGCGAGGCGCGGGTTTGGCCGCGTGGTCTCGGCTGCAGCTTTGCTCCACCATCCATGCAGAATGTTATCTATTTCGCAACCATCATCGGGACCAAGCCATCGCAGCTCAACCTCAACAATTTCATTAGTGTACAGGGACACCTCCTCTCAAATTCAACAAGTTTATTCGGATAGGTAGCAAAGATAGTTCGATAAACATGTGTTTTTACTTGCGAATTACAAGACTCGTGCCTTGGTATTCATTTTCGAATACCAACCGATTCCTAGCATTCCAAATGAAGTACACGGTTGCCGTGAGTGCCGCTTTCTTCAGCTTGGTTTGCCAACCACTCCCTCTCGCCTCCTTCTTGATCCATTTGAGGGTTTCTTTTTGTGTAGACGGCCTATGTCGAAGGCCAATACAAGTACGAATCTCACTCCAAACCTTTGAGTCAAAGGAACACTCAAAGAATAGGTGGCACGAGGATTCATTCGCAAGTCCACAAAGAGGGCATATCGGATCTACCTCCAGGAACTCAAGGCGATCTTTTATCCGGAGTCGATTAAGCACCCCTAACCAAAGGATGAAGGAGTGTTTAGGGGTATTACACGGACCCCAAACAATCCCATTCCACGGCACCGTTGATTTCTTAAGTCTTAGGAATTCATAGCATTTACTAGACTCTTCTTGTCCTTCTCGAGATTTTCATCCTCATAGAAGGGCTTCCACTCCACGTACACTCCCCGCCTTATCCACCAAGTCTTGCCGGACTCAAAGAGAAAGAGGGTTTTGAATAGAGGTGAGTCTTTCGGCCTAATTTGTTATCTATGACTAATGGTAAGATAAATGTTACATTTACTAAATCGTCCTTCAAACAAAGTTGTTTATATTTTCTCATTTTCCATACAAAGGTGCTCGGTTTGTAATTGGTTTTTTGCATGCCGTGTTTTAAAAAATAAAAATCTCTCATGACTGGAAATTTTATCATTTTTTTATTATCTTATTTTTCCATTTTTGAAGCAATGTTTACGTACGTCATATTTAGAGAGCAAATAACAGATGAAATTTTTTTACTTTTCACTTATTTTTTCTTCTCTCGCGTTTATTGTTTTAATTTTTTTTTTTTTTTTTTTTGATAAGAAAATAGTGGTTTTGTCATGCATACGTAAGGGCCCGTTTTTTATTTCAATTATGTTATGATGCATCACCTACATATGAAACGACCAAATGCATTCCGATCCATGCATGGAGGAGCTAGGATTTAAAATTCACCCGGGATAAAGTTATTTAGGTAAAATATTATTTGGAATTCATTTTTTTTACTAACATGACTTAGAATTTCCACGTACGTATCAAGCTTTTTATTTTTAGATTTACCATATAAAAATAAAACACAAAAATACAACCAAATACTAAAAGTGAAAAGAACAAATTAGTAAATTCTGAAAATGTAAATTTCAATAGATAAATAATAACAGGTATATGTTGAAATAATTTTTATTAAATTAGTTTTAAGATAACTTTTGTATGTTAATGACTCTTGTATTTGGTAATGATATAGGTAATAAATAGCAATAAAAAAATTATTTTTAAATTCAATATGAATGTCTATTTGTAGATCATCAAAATAATAATAATTTTAATTGATAATATATGTATGGAATATTAATACAAGAATATGTTTAGAGAAATTAATAAAAAGTGAGCATTTTTTTCACAATGTATGGATCCATGTGAAGTTGTTGCACACATGTTCTATTATCGCTAATGCATATTAGTTCTTTCATATGCTCAAGTTGCTTTGGCAATTTATCAGACATAGTAAACGTAGCAGGTGCTTCACTAGACCTACTACTACATGATCGATTCATTTAGGAAATAAGTTTATAGCAAACAAAACCAAGCAAGAACATGTGAAAAATACCTAAAAAGTATTCTTAATCAAGAATTTGATCTTTGAGATTCAATTTACTAGAGATATGGATTTGTTGAGGAAGATGGTGGTTTATGAGATAAATTTGTTGAGCATATGGGAACGAACAGGGGAAGGAAAATTCACTTTTCGGTTGACTAAAGTAATGTTATACAGTAACAATGGTGTAATAGCAACTGGTAATTTCAAAAACAGACAAGGGTGTAATGGTTAAATTTTTTATAAAGTTAGGGGCACTTCTTAATCTTGCGGGCCCTTCTTAATCTTCCGGGCCACAATCGCAGAAAACAAACGTGTTTTTAAGGGTAGATAAATGCCATAATCTTGTCTTATCCACTATAACAAAAGTGTCCTAAGAGGTTTACTAGGAAGAAGAATGATAAACATTTCTTGAACAGAAGCATTTCTCATTAGTGAGAACAACATACATTTCACATAATATGGATTAGAAATACTCAAAAATAGGAGCCAAGGATTTGAAATCGTCTTAATTATATGACTACTCAAATAAGCTAAATGGACTTGTGGATTTGAAGTTCTCAGCTTCAAATCCTTTCATCTGCATCATGAACAGGAGAGTTGTAACGCGTTTCATATATTGTTTCATGATAAACATGAAATATTTACCTTTCTTATATCAATTTTATATAATTTGAAAAATTATTTTAATTACAACAACAACATACCCAGTATATTCCCAACAGGTTGGAGTCTGAGGGGTCAGTTGTACACAGACCTTACCCAGTATATTCCCAACAGGTTTGATATATTTTTTTTTTTCTAGAAACTTCACTAATAGAAGAAGCACTAAAATTTAATTGAGCCATTTTAATCTAGTTCATTATTAGCACTATGCCAGGAGAATTGTCAACAATGACTCTTCCAGCTCCATTTGCAATGGACAAGAAAAATTATTTTAATCGAGGGTTAATCCTCGGCCATCAAGAGTTATGAACTTGTGCAGTTACTATGTGAGATCACACGGTTATCTTCTCAATGATTCACGACAGAACGGATGGCCTCATGTTGCCCCTAATGAAGAGGGCGACACCTTCAATGCGCACAATCTGTGTTCGCCTAGAGGAGCATGGACAGGTTTGATGGTTCCCTGAGTCTGACCTGCATAATATTTACCACGAATTGAGTAATGAGATGCACTCACGGTTGAACCAATTCTTTCGGGACCTCAATTCAAAGTACCGGAATAACATGTCCGTTCGACAAAAGAACCTGCACCACATCAAGTTTTTGTTGTCGTCCTACTACAAGCATGGACATGAACTTGGATACATGTTCCATGCTTACTTGAATATTGTGTGCACGGCCATGGAGAGGATTAACAATTTGAGTCGGCCAGCTTTCATGTTTTCCGGAGCTTCGGTCACTGCTGGAATGGTGGATCAGTATCAGGATCAAACTTTTGTTAAGAAGATACGTCTGTATCGAGTTCAAAGTGAAAATCTTACTGCACGGGCAATTATGAAAAAAGTGGTGTTTAGGATTAGCAGAAGGGCAACCCACTAAGGAGGATGAGGAGAATTCGTCTTGCTGGAGATGCTCTCCAACTCGGAGAGCCTTTTCTGATCCCTCCAAATATCTGATTTGAGGTAATGTCTCTACTCTTGGTAATTTCTATTTGTTTTTGTGTTAAACTTTTTCAGCATCACACTATAAAACCAAGTATGATGGTTCAGCTATTTCCTTCAGACGATTTCAAATCCTTGGCTCCTATTTTTGAGTTTTTCTTTTATGTAATCCTTGGTATGTTTCTAATCCATATTGTGTGAAATGTATGTTGTTCTCACTAATTTAATCAGAACTGTTTTTCAACAATGCAGGAACACAAGAAAGTGTGGCCAAATAGTTCTTACATGTTAGGTCATCAGTTTAAAGTTGAATAGGATTTGCAGAGTTTGACAATTATTGTGCATTGCATTCAGTTAATGTTTGTTGTTTGAAGTTGAATACTTTGTCTCCTTTTGAAATTATTAGACTATAATGTTGTTTGGAATTTGCTTATTTTGGATACTTTTGTTTGTAAGCAAGAACTAATGTTTTTGGATTTGATTTCAATAGATGGTGATGGTTTTTGATATTATTTCAGTAGTTTTTTATGGTGATAGGTTTTGGATTTCAGTAGTTTGTGATGCTTTTCAATATGTGCATCGTACAGTTTTTTTCTGATTCTATTATCAGTGATGGTCAATGGATCAGGTAGTATAGTGTTTTATGTGATTCCAATAGATAGTAATGATAATGGTTTTGACTTCAGCATCACACTAATTATGCATTTAATGAATGCACCCTACTATACAAATTTATAAATATTAATTAAAATAATTTTTCTTGTCCATTGCAAATCATTGTTGACAATTCTCCTGACATAGTGCTAATAATGGACTAGATCAAAATGGCTCAATTAAATTTTAGTGCTTCTTTTATTAGTGAAGTTCCAAAAAAAAAAAAAAAATATATCAAACGGAGCAATGCACCTTGGGTCGCTACGGAAACAGCCACCTTGTATAATTACATGGGTAAGGTCTGCGTACAAACCCCCCAGACCCCAACCTGTTAAAAATATACAGGGTATATACTGGGTATGTTGTTGTTGTAATATTTATAAATTTGTATAGTATGGTGCATTCATTAAATGCATAAAAACCATTACCATTACTATTTATTGGAATCACATAAAAAACTATACTACCTGATCCATTGACCATCACCTGTTAATAGAATCAGAAAAAAACTGTACGATGCACATATTGAAAAGCATCACAAACTACTGAAACCAAAAACCATCACCATCAAAAACTACTGAAATCATATCCAAAAACCATCACCATCTATTGAAATCAAATTCAAAAACATTAGTTCTTGCATACAAACAAAAGTATCCAAAATAGGCAAATTTCAAACAACATTATAGTCTAATAATTTCAAAAGGAGACAAAGTATTCAACTTCAAACAACAAACATGAACTGAATGCAATGCACAATAATTGTCATACCCTGCAAATCCTATTCAACTTTAAACTGATGACCTAACATGTAAGAACTATTTGGCCACACTTTCTTGTGTTCCTGCATTGTTGAAAAACAATTTTGATTAAATTAGTGAGAACAGCATACATTCCACACAATATGGATTAGAAACACACCAAGGATTACATAAAAGAAAAACTCGAAAATAGGAGCCAAGGATTTGAAATCGTCTGAAGGAAATAGCTGAACCATCATACTTGGTTCTATAGTGTGATGCTGAAAAAGTTTAACACAAAAACAAATAGAAATTACCAGGAGTAGAGACATTACCTCAAATCAGATATTTGGAGGGATCAGAAAAGGCTCTCCGAGTTGGAGAGCATCTCCAGCAAGACGAATTCTCCTCATCCTCCTTAGTGGGTTGCCCGTCCTGCTAACCCTAAACACCACTTCTTTCATAATTGCCCGTCCAGTAAGATTTCCACTTTGAACCCGACACAGACGTATCTTCTTAATAAAAGTTTGATCCTGATACTGATCCACCATTCCAGCAGTGACCGAAGCTCCGGAAAACATGAAAGCTGGCCGACTCAAATCTGTAAATAAAACAAAAAAAAAAAAGTTAGTCAGGAATCCATCTCAATTATAGTAAACAAAAAAAAATACTTACTGTTAATCCTCTCCATGGCCGTGCACACAATATTCAAGTAAGCATGGAACATGTATCCAAGTTCATGTTCGTGCTTGTAGTAGGACGACAACAAAAACTTGATGTGGTGCAGGTTCTTTTGTCGAACGGACATGTTATTCCGGTACTTTGAATTGAGGTCCCGAAAGAATTGGTTCAACCGTGAGTGCATCTCATTACTCAATCCGTGGTAAATATTACGCAGGACAGACTCAGGGAACCATCAAACCTGTCCATGCTCTTGTGCGCATTGAAGGTGTCGCCCTCTTCATTAGGGGGCAACATGAGGCCATCCGTTCTGTCGTGAATCATTGAGAAGATACCCGTGTGATCTCACATAGTAACTGCACAAGTTCATAACTCTTGGTGGCCGAGGATTAACCTACAAATTCCAATACAGAAAAATGGAAATATATAAAACATGACCATAGACTCCTTTTCTCACAACTGGATCACAAAGGCAACTCTACATCAATACACCCTTTTATTCTATTCTTATTTACCAAGAGTAAAGAAATTGAAATATATAGAACAATTTCATCAGCAAAAAGAGTGACGAGCCAAATGGCATTTCTGACCATAGGCTCTTTTTCCGTCTAGATCACACTAAGATCACACAAAGGCAACTCCATATCAATAAACCCTTTTATTTATTCTTATTCACCAAGAGCAGGTATCAAGCAAAAACCCAAAAAACCAAAACCCTAGCAATCTCATTTCTAAAGAAAAAGGAAGAAAAAAATATATAAAATAAAACAAAAAAAGAAAAAGGAAGAACATACCCTCGACCAGAACATGGGCGGAGATCCGAATCCGGGCCCTGTGAAAGGATACAGAGTCGTCATTGTGAAGGTGATCTCGTAGTGTGTGTATCTATCGAAAAGGCTCTCGGGTGTTTCTAGGCTCCAAAACCCAGGGGTTGGGGTTTTAAGGACTTGAAATTTAGAATAAAACTAAACCTACAGCATTGGGCCGGGAGGCCAAACGAGTTGTTTATAAAATATAAAAATGAGAAAATTACCCACTTAACGAAGAGACTTTCTTCTATGTACACATTAATAAGAGTATGTTTTTTATTCCTTTTGAATAACAATAATTCCACTAAGATGACTGTAAATAATTTTATATTCCACAAACGCCATTGTTTGACTTTATTTAAACATTGATTGATTAATTAACTAATTGAATAAAAAAGGCAATAAATATATTTTAGGGATGTGTGGTTCCAGAAATACTTATACTCACAAATAAACGCCCTATTCTTAGCGAGTCAGAATTACACCAAGAAGTTATTAATTACTATACCTTTTATTAACTATTGTGTTTGTTTTTTGTTTTTTACACCAAATATAAACCATATCAAAACAAACACTTCAAGTTAAAAAATAATTTTACTTCTTGAGTTCATATTTTGTTAATATTCAATTTATATGTGATTTATCAATTAATTTATTTATGGTTTATGCGTGATATATTTTAAGCTATATGCTTGCCACATTGTAGTATGAGTAGTTTATTTTATATTTTTCTACATTACGAATGATTTTTTCACATTGATATATTTTAATTGTATATTTTGATAAAGTTTATGTTTAGTGTAATTTAATAATTTATAATATTTTTTAACACAATGAGAAAATAATAGTATTGGTATGTTATTTTGTAATATTTACATTTTGATTTCTAGTGTAATAGGAACCATAACTTTCTATAGGTAATAATCATGAGGTGTGATTTTTATAAAACTAGAAATCAATAGCATACCTTTTTTGTTTCTCCAAAATATTGGAGCAGTATGAGATAAAAAACTAGGAAGAAAAATCCCAATTAAACTTCATTATCATCGCATTTAAAGAAATAACTTTTTTATTATACAGATAATTTGATTATTAATAGATACTTTGTTCAAAAGTTTGGATAATAATAATGAGAGCATAAGATTATATGGAATGCTAATATTAATTGTATTTGGAGAGAAAACTTGCTTTAAATGGCAGAGATCAAAATTGTATTGAATATAAAATACTAATTGTGATTGGAGAGAGAGAGGGTGAAATTTAATTGGAATGGTAAATCGTAGACTCCTATCACATATATTGGATGACTTCCATAAATTGATAATCTCGTTCGTGTGACATTAATTTTTCTCATAACCATAAACATGGAATTACTTTTAAGGCTTCGCAGTTATGCTAATTTCTTTTAGAATTCTCATATTTATGTACTTAAGCCAAAAAAAAATCAAAATATGGGTTTTAAGATGGACTTGAAATTTAGAATAAAACTAAACCTAGAGTATTGGGCCGGGAACAAACAAAGCCCGCAAGGTCAAACGAGTTTTTTTATAAAATATATAAAAAAAAAATCAAAATATTTCACCCTGTCGGGTACGGGCCTGTCCGACCCGCTGGCCATATCCAACCCGTCGGGTATGGGCAGATTCGTACGCTCAGAACTTGGAAAAGAGAGAGAGAGAGAGAGAGAGAGAGAGAGAGAGAGAGAGATTTGGAAACCTTCTTCAAAGGTTGTTAAACTTCTTCACCAGGGATCTTCTTCATGATCCAAGATCTTATCAATTTCAATTGAAAGAAAAAATTGTTCATGATCCAAATGATCTTATCAATTCAAAGATTCAAATTGTTCAATTTTTATCCTTCGAAAAGATAAGATCTTTTGAACGAGAAAAATTCTGAGTAAAATTTTAGATCTCAGAAATTAAGATTGCCTTTCAGAACTTAAGATTTGGTGTGTACGAACAAAGAGTACTGCGATGAGGTGAGAAAGTGGGTATAGTTTGTCCTCAACTTTTAATATATAATATAATGGACCTAACTGGGCCGAAGAGTTTGGCCTCATTCTGTAAATTATTCTTAGGCGAATTTTTATATTTTATTAGCATTCATACCAAAATGAAGTGCATTTATATTTTATTAGCATTCATACCAAAAAAAAAGGTAAGTGGATATGGATCACCATCATCTTTAAGGCGTTATTTATTTTTTTCCTAATTTGAATTTAAAATGTACTCTCTCTCTCTCAAAATACATAAACACATGATAAAAAATATATACAAAATATACACTATTTTTTCGTAATATACATGTATTAGTTTATACAAAATATATACATAATATATACAAAATATACATAATTCGTTCATATCAAACACAAAATACACTATCTGTTCACAATATATACATAATATAATATATATTTATATATATATATATACATAATATATACAAAATATACATAATTCGTTCATATCAAACACAAAATACACTATCTGTTCACAATATATACATAATATAATATATATATATATATATATNCCCAATGTGATCTACAGTGATGTCTACAAAATTAAAATTAGTATTCAATAATTGCATAATTAGATCACATTTTATCCATCAACAATCAACAGTTATTCAATCAACAGTTATTCAATTTTATCATTAATTAACATTGTTTTATGAATTTGAAAATTGTTGCATTCATCAAAGTTAGGAAAAATATTGATTTTTAAGTAAAGCCAAATTTAGCATTCAAATGCCCTAAAAATATATCCTACAGTATAGAAAAGATTAAAATAAATTGTTCCACCCAAATATGAGTATGGAGACTGCCTTAGAATTTCTTTAGTCAAAAATTCCTAAATCATAATTTTTGAATGTAATAACTTCATTTGTGTGTACGGGTGGACGAGCGTGAACATGCATAAACAACTCTTCATAATGCAACTGTCGTCTACAAATTTGCGTGAACATGCATAAACAACTCTTCATAATGCCACTGTCTTCTACAAATTTGCATGTCGCGCGATTCTGTAGTAGTTTCTTCTCATGTCCATGAACTATATCTACTCGATTCTGTAGTAGTTTCTTCTCATGTCCATGAACTATATCTACTCTATAACACCTATTGTTGTACACGATTTCGGTCCCATGAAATAGTTTGTCGATATGTATATGCACACAATTGATGAAATAATGGATAATACTGAAACAACTATTCATCAAAATTGAAGAGGCATCTGATTTTTCATATAACTATATTTTGGCACTACTTCTCGTGATCCATCACAGGAGAAGTTATAAAGCTTTTCAAAACTTGAAAGAGTATTCAAAAGTTAAAATAAGGGAATGCTCTCCATTCTCGTTATAGGCTACTCA